GATGTCTGCCTAGTCTGAGGGGAATTTCTCTTCCTCAGGAGAAAACAGCTTAAAAGGAAACAAATAGCCATATGCTAACTGTACACTGCTTAGCAGATGATGTAGACAGCCATGTTCTACAATGGAAAACATGAGGGTCAAGGTTCAAATTAACTTTCTTTAAACTTCAATGTGATTATCCAAGATCAAATTACGTATTAAATATAAGTTGTGTCAAAGATCTGCACTGTCAATTTGTGGCAGGCATAACATGGAGTTCTAAGATTAATCATCGGTGATATTGGGTACAGGAGAATAGACCCACAAAGTATTTTCCTAATAAGCTTTTAAATAGAGCTAATCCAAAATAAGCCAGAAAATACTACTCGTAAGACCTTAGAAAGGTGAGTTTGAAACTGAATTAGATGAATAGTGAATTTTTATATCTTAAAAACAGCAAAGTATTCTAAATTAAATAATTTCATATTCTCATCAAGAGGTGATTATTGGTTTGCAAAGAAAAATAATCAATGAAAAATAAATTTTAAAACCACATTTGTGCATAAAAATTGTTTTCTTTTATAAAATCAAACTTCAAATAATTACAAGTGAAAACATTAGAAATAAAAACTACTACACATTTCTTAGCATTCCAGTGTTTTGACTTTATAATTGTGTGAGATAACTTTAACTGCACCAAAACTGTTTTTGAGAAAAAGGTTTATAGCTTTTACTACACAGCAAAGAACAGCAGCAAAACATAAACCAATATCTGCACTGAGGTCTACCCTTGTTATAATTGGGATATAAATGAAAATAAAAATAAATACTCCCCCAAATAATATAAATAGAATAACTTTGGTGCATTACTTCAGCTTAAATAAATATTAAAGGCACAATAGACAAAAATATTATTTCTATACAGAAATAAAGGTTTTAAATGGCATTCTATATTAAATTTTTTTCAATGTTTGAGAGGTCGACAATTGTTAGGAACCAAGAAATACAGTTGTTGTTACAGCTGTAAAACTTGGTTTAAAGGCAAATAAAACACATATAAATGTTTTTAAAAGCATTACCAACAACTGCGCTATGAAACCTGTGTTGCCTCAAGACACTTTTCCTCAATGTTTTTACTTGGGGCGATAGTTTCACTAAGCAATTAGATGCAATCTTTGTCTTCCTGTGTCTGAGCCTTAGGGAAAGTAAGAATAGTTCTCATTGAACTTCTGGTACCTACACTGAGGAAACATTTTTTTAGGTAGTAATATTTTCCAGGAAAAAATAAAACCCGAACTATAACAATACTTTACAGGCTTAACTGACAGCAAATAAAGCCCATGCTTTCCCCTCACCTTCACCCTATTTATGTCACACACAAAAAGCTAGTTTTGGCTTTCGGACTGAAACGTCTTCAAAATGGTGAATTAGCAGTGCAGGCGGGTACCACCATATCCGCTAAAAACATGCTTTTAATAACTGCAATTAAACTAGTATAAAAATTATTCAAAGCAAACACTACTCAACTTTTTTCAGGGTTTCTTTTTTTGTTTTGTTTTGCATTTTTTGTTTTTTTGTTTTTTTTTGGAGACGGAGTCTCATTCTGTCGCTCAGGCTGGAGTGCAGTGGTGTGATCTCGGCTCACTGCAACTTCTGCCTCCCCGGTTCAAGCAAGTCTCCTGCCTCAGCCTCCCGAGTAGCTGGGATTATAGGCATGTGCCACCATGCCCAGCTAATTTTTGTATTTTTAGTAGGGACGGTGTTTCACCATGTTGTCCGGGCTGGTCTCAAACTCCTGACCTCAGGCGATCCGCCCGCCTCAGCCTCCCAAAGTGCTAGGATTACAAGCATGAGCCACTGCACCTGGCTCAGGGTTTCAAATATTTATTATCACTAATAAGAATGCTTATTATAAAACTATCCTTATTAATGTCAAACTATATTTGATAAATATTTACTCTCTCTCTATATATATATGTATTTCCCCATTTAAAAGTATATTAATTGTTCCCGAATAATATCTTAAAGTATTTTTAAAGTACATATATTAAATTGCATTCAGTCAATTATAATGTTATTTTTTCTCAGGAGCTTGAAAACATTTTGGAGACATAATGATGAACATCATCCTAAAATTTACGAGCCACACATTCAGGGGCTCTGTATTTTAATACTTTGACGGTAAAAGTGATATAATGATCTTATGGCTGGTTTCAGCTCCATGATTGTATATTTGCTGACTAAGGCTAGAAAGCTTTTCCCATAATGGCCTCTCAAGGTAATGGAATGTCTAGCTAAGAAAGAGAAGTTAACTGGCAGCTAATAGTATCTTAAAATATCCACACAAAAGCCAGGTTAGAAAAGACAACTCTCGACATCCTAGTGCATTCACAGTACCTGGATCACGTGGCGGTAAAACTAAAGGTGTTTGGAAACGAAGCTCTAGAAAGTAAGCATTTAGTCCTTTTATTCAAGTCTGTAACTTTTTAAAAATTTCTGACAATGATAAAAACACAAGCAGAGTAGGAAATAATACAGAAAAAAAGTGATTTTCGATATTTGAAAACATCAAAGTTGGTAAATAACTCACTTATAAGCAATTATGATTCCAGAGAACAATCACTATTTTACCCTCTGTAGTTTCTTATCCACCAAAATAGGAGCTGGGTTAGGTCATCTATATCACCTTCTTAATTCTCTAAATTAGTTTTCAGATAACTTAGTTTATCTCCACAGAGAATAATTATTCTTAAATACAAATGTGTCAAAAGTTACAAAGATACTAACACCATAACTCTGAAATACGACTTTATCAAAATATGCAGTTGGTCCTCTATATCCATGGGCTCTGCAACTGTGGAATCAACCAATCACAGATGGAAAATATTAGGGGAAAAGAAATGATAGCATCTATACTGAATATGTATGGCTTTTTTACCCTTGCGATTATCCCCTAGACAATACAGTACAGCAACAATTACTGTAAGACCTATTGAACGTAATCCAAACATATTTGTAAGTATAGGGGGGAGGGTGTGCATAGGTTATGTGTAAATACTATGTCATATATAAAGAACTTGAGCATCCATGGGTATTTGTATATACAGCAGTCCTATAACCAATCCACATGAATACTGAGGTAGGACTACACGTTCTTTTATAAATAGGTCAAACATTTAAACTTATTCTGCATGGGCTACATTTCAAGTTGGACTTAAAAAACAAACAAACAAACAAAAAACTAGCCTTCTGTGATGATGATAGCTGTCATTCACCTCACTAATTTAGTTCCCAGACCTTTACTGAGAATCAAGACACTAAGAGAAAGGCCGTAAGTTCATTGTTAGTTAACTGTGAATAGGCAAATATAAACTGGATTGGAGAACTTCAAGGACATATTTTTAAAATGAATAGCTAGTTTTAACATAGTTGTAAATGGCTGCTTTACTTTTTATTGTATCTAATTATATTTTACGCCCATATCAGACGCTTTTGGCAATTCTGTCTGAGGTAACACGAGGCTCTGGGAGGGCGATCAAGTCATTCACATTCTCCGGGGCTGATTTCACGTTAGTAACACGATCGAGTTGGAATAATCTGTCTCTAAATTCCTTTCCACATTTATAACTTCATAATTATATACATGCATCATTTTATACTTAAGTTATACTTGAATATTGAAGACAACTTTGGAGACTATGAAAACTAATTATATAATTAAAATCTCGAACATAAACTTTTTTATATAATTAAAATTTTGAACATATCAATTATCTTGGAAAAACATCATATACAAATATATACATAGTTATGTATATAGTTTTATAGAAAATTATAAATAAAGTGAATTTTATCTAAATTTCCTTTGTCTCTCCAATCCCTATGCAATGCTCAATTTTTGTCATATTATATACAGCAGGATCCTTTCAAGGGAATGAAATCATTTCGGCTACTCCTTGAATGTAGATAGAAAATAAAAGAAGCCCAATTCTTATTCAACTGCAGTACAAATCTAGCCCTATAGACACAACAGTTTAATGGTTAGTCAATAAATCCTTCTTGAGGGTAATTTCAAATAAACTGTATTTGGTGCTAGTGTAAATAAACTGAACCACCAACTACTTGAGGATAACATACACCTGTTTCCTTCCAAAGGCACTCCACAGTGGCCAAGAAAATAAAATATAAGGCATATACTCATACTTTTTTGATATAGTTTTAATAGAAATGTATTTCTAAGAATTAGAAATGGTTAAAACCCTAACTTAAACTGCCAGTTGAAAGTATTTTTCTTAATGAAGACAAATTTTTAAATCCCACGGTATCTTATTTATAGACAAATTCTCATATGTAGATATGTATAAATGCATGTGTGTGCACGCGTGTGCGTCTGCGTGTGTGTGTGCATATGCATGCGTGCGTGCGTGTGTGTGTGCGCGCGCGTGCGTGTGTGTATTTTTTGGCTATTCACAGCCATGATCCCACTACTGATCCGCATGGGAGTTTTGATCTGTTCCATTTCTGACCTGATCCTGTTCATCCCTCCTTAGGCCAACCTGGTGGTTCCCCATTCTCAGGAGGTCACCATACCAATGCCAAACTCAGTTTGGACACCCAGTGGGCAGGGTGCAGTACAGCCCAGAACTCCTGGGCCCAAGCAATTCACTTGCCTCAGTGTCTCAAGTAGCTGAACTACAGGCAACACATGGTCCCCTATTCAATATATTTAAAAGTAACAAAGGAGGGGGTAGAACAATTTTAATAAAATTTTCCAACAGAAAATCACTCCCAATCAAAAGTCAAATCATTAATCAACGCTGTGTAAATCCCAATTTAGCTTGAATAACAAGTTAGGATGAGAAACACAGAAAACTCAAATAGTAGATTGTATTCATATATAAAGCTAGAGATTATCCTCAGGTAAGGCCTAGGATACAAATTCGACTTTTCATTGCCATGATCAAACAAATGAGGCCATTCTGCCAACCCCCTGCCAAACACAGAAAGCCCAGTTTACTTACTGGCTACTTCCAGCGATGCATTGTGGCTCACGGCCTCTCCAAGGTAATTCCTTGCTACACAGACATAGACCCCTTCATCAGGTCTACTTTTCCGTCCATGTACTATACGTAAGAAAAATAAAGATCCACTTGGCAGCAACATTCGGTGTGAGCGAGGGTCATCTTTGTCTGTCTCCACTCTCTCTCCCCCTTTATACCATTCAATAGTGGGTGTGGGACGGCCTTCGGCTTTGCAGTTCAAAGTTGCAGGTTCTCCTTTTGAGACAATCAGGTCTGAAGGGTGTTCAACAATGCGAGGTGGAAAATCTTCCTGACGAAGACGGGAGCCTGCAGAAGAATTGACAAAATATCTTCAAATATCACTTGAAAACAGTTAATTGCTCATTTCAAAAGCATCGGCTTAACCATTACTGTTTAAACACTGTGTAACACTGGCCTACCCTTCCTACCCTATTTACTAACAATATTTCTGGTGTCTGCCTTGACTACACCTTCCAATTCCTGAATCCTTTTGAGTCTCCACTCAGAAACTTCTCAAGCCTACACACTGTCTGTGCAAATCCTGTCTGCTCCTCAAATCCCTGATCCACAAGTCCTTTCAGAACCCATTTCATTGCCTGTCTATGTCATGCATGTGCCTATTTCTGCAGAGGAATGTGGCAGAGAAGTACTGAATGGCTTCCCGAGTATTACAAACAATGGCACGGTTCCCTGGAATCTCCTTTTCAACAAACAGCAGTCAACACTTTAACAAAACATAGGCTATATACTAACGAACATTTACATTCAAATGTATAATAGCACTGTCCTTTATGTAGACTTCTATATGTTCCTAAATAATAACAAGCATATACACTTCCCCAGTTTTATTAATAAATTTTATTAATAATTTATATTTTAATCGACTTCAGAGGTGAAATGCTAAGTGCCTGAGTTTAAATAATTAAATATACTATTAAATGGTAAAGGATGTTGAGTGAGGGGCTTCATTCTGCACCTTACGTATTACTTAATAAATGAAGCCCTGAGTGTCTATGTCATTTAAATATTTCCTGTGTCTGTACCTTATTGTTTCCAATGAGATTATAATCTCAAAAACAGGAATGACGTTTCATATTTTATAACATTCCTATCTTATTTCTGCTTATATAGAGGAAATACGTAAATTTATCAAAGATTTCTCAAATTCGACAGCCAAAGGCCTTACTGAATACAGTCCCAAACTTTGCCCTCATCTAGTATTTCAAGGTCCATGAATAAGGCAAAGTAGACACCAGTCTTCCTCTCTTTCTGTCCCCTAGTCCTTCCCAAATTCCTCCCAAAAAGTTCTCAAATTAATCTGCTTAGCCTCGTCTCTATAGCCAGCTACCATCCCAAGTCCAATTACCGTCCCTTTCTACCAGGATGTAGGAAAGCCTCTGAAATAGTTTCACTTCAGTGTAGCCAGATGAAGGCTCTGAAATGCAAATATCATGTAGGTTGTCTTCTACTTCAGTGGCTCTTAAAATAAACTTATTGCTCTTAAGGTAAGTCTTTAACTAGACCTACAAGAGCTACCATGTTCATTCCCTGATCCAGCTGTCTAGACACTTCCTGTTCCATGCCTTTCTCTGCTGTCCTCAGCCTGACTTCTCTTAGCTCCACAGATACCTTGCACATCCTACTGCCACATGACTTATGCGTGCCACAGGGTCTGGGCTTCAAAGAATCTTATGGTAGAATACACCTACTCTTATTTCAAATCTCTAATCTCCCTATTCTTTACAAGAAAGTTAAATGTTGGTTTTATAAACCTAAATAGCACTACATAGCTACCCATGGTAAGAATGATAAGAATCACAATATATAAATCTATTTGTCTGATGCTATTTGTCTGTTTTTCCCACCCTTCTGTAAGATCTGCGGGTCTGGTTTTGCTCACGGTATTTCCCTTATGCTTGGCAGAGTGCTGTTCACATTATAGTACTCAGTAAACCATGTGTTGAATAAATGACAAAAAAGAATGAAGTGCTGACAAGACCTAACTAAGCAGAATGAGATGAAGTTTAAGAATCATGCATTCTATGACAAGACAGGAAAATATTTTATTTTAAAAAGTTTTAACTAATATGTATACATTCAACCTTTAATAGACTGTAAGGCCTACGCGAGGCTTACTTGTACCTGTTTCTAATTTGTAACTCCTCCAACTAATGTTTTTTCTTAGTGAAATGAATTAATGATAATAGATCTATTATTTATGTCCACCATGAAACAAAAATTATAATTTGAAATGCTAATAGTTTTATAATCTGAAACGCTAATAACTTTAGCTTAGTGCATATATACAGCATGCTATAGATTCTTTCAATGAAACTAAGCTCTAGAAAGGGAGGAAATAAACCAGCAATATAAAAGAAAAAATTACTTGGAAACTCATATTCTCTAAGGCTATGTTGAAGCCAAGAGAAATTCAGATTGGATTTTAGATTAGTCATAACAGTCAGTGCTATACAACTTCAGAAGATTAAGTATTACAGTACGTTCTTGGCCTTTACCCTTGGCTGGAATTCTGAAAGGTGGATGCTAAGGAGGATTGACTGCTGAGGAGATATTTAATTAAAGGAACTTTTATTTTAAAATCTGAAAGTCCATTTCAGATAGAAAATAGGGATATATAGGTTATCATGAGAATACAAAGCAGGAGCACCTAAGATTGCCTGAGCAAGACAGAGAAGAAACTCACACACATTACATTTGAGATAAGCCTTGAAGAATGAGTCAGAAAGGGAAGACAGGAGATGATTTCACCCAGAGGCACAGGAACAGGAGTATGTGCTACACTTGCGGGACCTGCAAGTGGCTTAGTACGGCCTGAGTATAAAGTGCATTTCGGAGATGGTGAAATGTAAGTATGAAGAAATAGCTAAAAGAAGTAACATCTTGGGCTTTGTACACTGAGCAACAGTTTTGGAACCCAGTGGAAGGCAGCCAGAAACCATTAAAAAATTTTAAGCAAGGGATGGGTATCATAAAGGCTGGTTTTAAAGAGCTCACTATTGGCAGCATGAAACTGGACTTAACAGGATGAGCTAAGAAGGAATTAGTGAGAACCCATTTCAAGCAATAAATCTGAAAACCAGGGTCAGGTATGGTGGCTCATGCCTGGAATTCCAGCACTTTGGGAGGTCAAGGCAGGAGGATCACTTGAGCCCAGGAGTTCAAGACGAGCCTAGGCAACACAAGGAAACCATATCTCTATAAAAAACGTAAACAATTAGCCAGGTGTATGGTGCACGCCTGGAATCCCAGCAACTCACGAGCTCAGGTGCAATGATCGCCTGGGCCTGGGAAGTCGAGGCTGCAGTGAGCTGAGATCGCACCACTGCACTCCAGCACAGGGACAGAGGGAGACACTGTCTCAAAAATAAAGAAAGAAAGAAATCCGAGAGCCAGAATCTAGCCATTAACAGACAGAAAGGAAAACAGATGGAAGAATCTCAAGATATTAATTCATAAAATCAACAGAATCTAGCCACTGACAGTACGGAGGAAAAGGAAATGCAAATGCACAGGATGGAGGAGAGGCAGAGGGTAGTGAGTTTCCAAGTTTCTTGTCTCTGTAATGGGTGAAGAGCAGTCTCACTGAAGGTAAGGAATGAGAGAGTGAAATTTGGTAAGAGGAAGAAGGGTGAGGAGAGAATTCTATCCAGTCTGAGACATGAAGAATTTGGGATACTTCTAGAATATCCAAACGGTGTTGACAAGCTGTCAATTGTATGTCCCTAAGTTTGACCGCGAAAAAGAAATCTCAGCTGGAAAGTCAATTAGAATAGAGCCACTGATGAAATCCACAGGAAAGATCAAAACTGTCTGGGGAAGCCCAGCTGAGTAGTCCCAGCGCCTCGGCAGGCTGAGGTGGAAGGATCCCTTGAGCCCATGAGTTGCAGGCTGCAGTGTGCTATGATCACATCTGTGAATACCCAATGCACTTCACCCTGAGCAACATAGTAACACTCCATCTCTAAAACTGTTTTTTGTTTAAGTCCAGAGGGATTATGTACAGGAAGTAATGACCAATTACAGAATCTGGATGTCACCCAGGCTCCACTAAAGTGCAGTGTTTCTGAGGGTCTGCTCTGTCCCTAATTTCCCGTCCCCTATAGCGAAACCACAACCAAGTATGGCTTTGGGAATGGAACTCAGGACCAAGTTATTACCATGATGTTTGTACAGAACAATTCAGTAAACATCTCAGCAATAAAAATGTTTTCCATATTATTAAATGAAAAATTTCTCAAAAGGCTCTAAGAATACTCTTTCTTCAGATTGTTACTAGGCATTGCTTCAAGGAAGAGCTGCAGTTCTCAGGGTGATTAGTCTGCTAATGCATATTATGATGTACAAAAGAGGGGTATAATACGCAGCATTTCCCAACTTATTTGGCCACTGAACTCTTTTTTATTTATTTATTTATTTTTTGCAGAATATCCCACTGACTGAACTTTGCTTCTAAGAAACACGTTTCAAGAGAAAATATACACTATCGAGCATGTGGTAATTTGAGGAGAACGAATAGGATCAGCAAAAACCCTATTATTTGACTATTAAGCTAATACCTTTGGAGGTTATAACAAAATATAGAAATCCCACATTTCTCATAAAGTATAACCTTCAGAAAAAAGATCTTCCAATTTCTGAGTGATATTTATGAGTGATTGGTTAACTTCAATAATAAAAACCATAAATGGTAATCATCATCTTTATTTAAAAAGTATAATGAAGTACTATTTGTTATAAAGTCTAAGCAGGAAGAAAAGGAAAAGAAAACTACTATTAATTATCCACCATCTTCTTTATTACAACAACAACTTTATGAAGTGTGTGTTGTTATATCTGTGCCCATATGGAGGAACCGAGACCCTCAGCTGTCATTCAGCTGGGAAGCGGCAGTGCTGGAGTTCAACCCTAGTCAGATTCAACGTCCTTGCTCTTTCAAACTATTCCATAACTACTGCATTCATTAGTTAAAATCCACAGAGAAACATCCTTGTTCATGCTTGCTTCCAACACGGGAGGTGTTCACTTTGATTGCTTACTTTTAAAATAGAGATGATAAAAACATCGAGAAACGGCCAAACCTGTTGACATCTGTTGTGTTTCCCCATGCACAGCATATCTATCTGCAAACGATTTCACAGTTACTTCATTCAGCAGAGACCCTGGTGACGAATACATGGAGACAGAAAGCTTTCCATGTATCGTGCCATCTTCTCCAAACACGAGCTCACACTGCTCAGTAAATATCCTTACATGATCAGTTTCTCATATGCTCAGAACCTCAATTC